ATATCGACGCCAAGAATCCCCAGACTCGACTTATTATCGAGGGAAGTGCCCCGAAAGTAAGGAGATACGACAAACGGTGTCTTTTTTGCGGTGAACGCGCAGACTTGTGTCTTCTTAGGGTTAAAGTGAACAAGATTGCGTTCACCCCAGATCGAAACTTTATCGAGCGAAGTTTCGATTTCAGACACAAGTCTGTTCCGGAGCTCATCGGTATGTGTCCGCGAGATCTTTGCATGACCGGTGTATAATGCATCTCCTGTACTGTCGTCTGCATAACAATGAATATCACTGATCTGTAACATATCATTGATATGCATAAGAAACAGTGTCGGAGATAGTACACAGCCTTGCGGGACACCAGCATTCACAGGTTTTAAGTCAGAGCATGCTCCGTCGACTACGACCTTAATGCTACGTTCCTTAAGAAAACTGGCGACCCAACTGCACAATCTCGCAGGCAACCCAAACGAAGGTAGTTTTGAGATTAGTGCCCTATGCCACACCCGATCAAAGGCTTTCGCAATATCCAGACTAACAGCTAAGGCCTCTCCCTTATTCTCGATTGCCACCGCCCATCGGTGTGTTAAATAAACTAAAAGATCACCAGCCGAGCGCCCCCGTCGAAAGCCGTACTGGCGATCTGAGATCAGCTGGCGATCCTCTAGGTACCGGAGCAGTTGATGGTTAACAACTGATTCCATGACTTTCGAGAATAAGGAGGTGATAGCTATGGGCCTATAGTTAGCTGGATCTGAGCGGTTTCCTTTTTTAGGGATCGGATGCACCAAAGCAGTCTTCCAAAACTTTGGGACTATACCTGATGAGTAACAGAGCCGAAAAAGACGCGTAAGAACCGGAGCCAACTCTGGTGCGCACGTCCTAAGCACAATTGGAGGAATGCCATCGGGCCCACTCGACTTATGGATTTCAAGGGAGAGAAGTGCTCTACGCACTGATCTTTGCGTGAATTTAACATCCGGCATAGAGCTCAGTTTACAACGCGGGATGGTCGGCGGTGGTTTCTCCCCGTCATCCAACGTCGAGTTTGATGCAAAGAGAGATCCAAGGAGATCGGCCTTCTCTTTGGCGTTCAGAGCCAACGAGTTATCCTCCCTGCGCAATGGTGGAAAAGATGACTGACAGAAATTCCCTTGTGCAGCTTTGGCAAGAGACCAGAAAGCTCGAGACCCCGAAGGTAAACTAGCCAATCTCTTGCCAATTCTACCAATATGCTCTGACTTCGCTGTGGCCAAAACTCTTTTGAAGGACCTAGAGGCAAAGTTATACTTCTTTTTAAGGGCACTGATGTTAGGATCTCGCGACGCCACACCTTTGGCCCAGGCTAGGAAGCACTCCTGTTTCAGGCGAGATGCTATTCTACAAGAGGCTCCATACCAGGGCTGGGATTTCCCACCGACAGGTACCACAGAGTTAGGAATAAATAATTCCATTCCCTGAAGCACCACATCGGCGATGGAATTGGCGATGGCGTCGGGGTCCCTCAGTGCGAAGCAAACCTGCCTCCATGGGTAAGATGCGAAAAAAATCCGCATCTCATCCCAGTCTGCCGACCTGTAGTGCCAAACACGACGTCTACCCGTGGAACGTGGTGGAATCGGACTCATGAGAGGCAACGCCTTACTGCTCCGCACCAGACAGTGATCCGACGATCCAAGCGGAGCTTCGACGGAAATCACATAGTTGTCTGGGTGGGTGGTCAGCAGAAGGTCCAACAGTGAAGGTGAATGGTCCAACACATCAGGTATTCGCGTAGGCGAGGAAACAAGCTGCGTCAGACCATAAGCCAAAGCAAAGTCATGAACAGATCTTCCCGCATAGTCGGTTGTACGTGAACCAAGCCATTCGGTATGGTGGGCATTAAAATCGCCAAGAATCACGACTTCAGCGGAAGGAATCTATTCGAGCAGGGAATCTGTAGTCATTTGGACGTGCTCAATGAGTTGGTCGGTTTCGATGTTACCGCTGTTTTATGTTTTTTACTATGTTTTAATAAAATAATTCTTAGCCACTTAACTGACTGCCTTTGATTTTATCAAACGGTAAAATATAATAAAGGTGATGGTAGGTACAAATTCATTCATATAAGTAGGTCACAAATCGAATAACAAGGTTAAAGGTAATTAAGTCTAATGACCTGGCCTGGTCGTCCCTTTCATTTCGCCCCCTATTAAGTTCACTTTTCATACACAAAAGAGTTTCAAAGTCATTTTGTGATACGAGATCTTTTTACACGATTCGGTGAAAGACTTTTTGTTATTATTATAAGCCATCTGGAAACATTATTTCATTCAATGTCAGGAAATAATGTTTAAAGAATTTTTGTTTCAACCGAATGTAGGAAATTTCGTGGTTTAATTAATAATAATAATAAAAAGATTTATTTTCTCTTCACGATTCATCACAGTGAAATATAATGAGACATACTTATATTAAACTAATCAAATTATAAATATAATTGTGAGAGACTGGTGCCTTAGATAGGTATAAGAATACCTGTATTACAGGTCACCAGGGCCTCAATCCGCAGGGTTACTTACTAAGTACTTGTTATATAATAAGTGAATTCAATGTAATAAATATAATTTATAGGAAGAGATAATTAATTACAATTTAATCTGGGAGTTGTGTGTGCGTGCGTGTGTGTGTGTGCGTGTGTGTGCGCGCGCGCGTGTGTGTGTGCGTGTGTGTATGCGTGTGTCTGTAGGTGCATGCGTATCTCTCGCTGTGTGTCTTTGTGTTTGTACACATTCATATTAAAATTAGGGTCTTTAAGTTATTTTCTCACATCTGGGGGATAAGTAAGGCCTCTGTAGCATCATAGTCGAGTGTTTTCAACCAATTATGATATGATATGAGATATGAACTTTTTACAAGTGTACCTATGATCGGTAGATTGACAACTGAGCGTTGATTTTATTATATAAGTAACTACCTAGAAAACAATAATGGCCAGATGAAGACTTTATACAAAAGTCACTCGCATGGTTGTCAGTGTACCACTTGTGTTTCTATCAGCAAGCTGATGTAATTGTATGGCTATGCTTCGATTTCAATGATGGGACATAACTATGAAATTATAGTATATACAGGCACTTTTTTTTCATATTACTTGCTATTTCCAAATATTAAGTTATCTTAATGTTAAGAAATGGTAACGCGAAGGCAGTTCACGGATACTAAAGTGTATCATTTCTATAATATAATACTAAAGTGTATTATATCTATTATACATCTTAGAATATGCATTTAACCAAATATGAGTATTTTTTTTATACAACTTAGAATGGCAAACAAGCTGATGGCCCACCTGATGGAAAGTGGCAACCGTCGCCTATAGACATGAGCAGTACCATGGACATAACAGAGTATACTGTTTCGCCCATGATACCCCCCATGCGTTGCCATTCCTGAGGACTCAGGTGTTATTCCTCTGTACCCAGTAAATTCGCGTCATATCCCACCTTTCAAACCGAAACAGCTATGCAAACACAACTGCTTCACGGTTCAAATACGAATGGGACAGAGGTAAAATTACATAGAAATAGAAAACTATCCCAACCGATTAGTAACTTAGTTCATCAGTATTGCATGATTGGGTATTTTTGAATTTTTTCGCAGTTTTGGATAAAAAAAAATTAAAAGAAGATAAGGAAAAGGGAAAAATAGAAATAGAAGGAATCACCCCTTTTTTGTCGTTCAATTTGTTGCATATGACAAAACCTAGTGAAAAACTATGCAAAGCCATTCAATTTGTGACTGGATAAAAGTCCCAGAAATCGTATCGATTTAAAGGAAAAAATATATAACGTTTGGGTATAAATCAAAGTTAGCATCTAGTAACCCTGTCTTCCATAACCTAATTAGAACGTAATAGACTGTAATAGAACCCGAAACCTAAACTAACGTATAAAAATAGTTGAGACTAAGTTTGAACCTTATCCGGACTCACCGGTAATCTAATATTTCAGTGTCCTAAATTCATTTAAGATCTTCAGGTCAATTTAATTAAGATCGCCCATTACTGACATTACATTAGACTTCTATATAAAGCCCTTTGCAAAGAACCAGCACTTACGAATTTTTAGAATAGTATAGTAGGATGTATCTATAGTTTAAAAAATATTATTTGCTAATAATACGAAATCCCTTGTTTATGAGATATAAAAATAAAGAAATTTATACATTTATACATTCGAGTTTTATCATATAATATATTAATAGATATATAGTGATTCCAGTAAAATTAGAAGATTCATCAACTATCAAATTGAAACAATAATCAACAAGCATTGATAAGACATTCTATTATTAAGTTACAATGCCTGATACCAGCATATATTGTCTACAATAACATGGCACTCCCTTCCAAAATCCAAAGAATTAAAAATGTTCGTCATCAATATATGCAAAGTTTCGACCAAGTAATACTAGACCACTACTGAAGATGTTTCCTCATAAACACGAGTATAGTACGAGTACCACGTCTGTATATGGCCACACTGAACATTGAAGCAAAAAGTTGGAGGGGCGGGCCATGTTAAAATAGATTTTACAAATTAGAATGTCATTCTTTATGGTTTGTAAGAAATGAGAATCAACGCGATCATTTAGGTAAACTATGATATATTTTTTTTTAATTATTTCAACGTTTTAGTCGTGTTACACCGGTCGTGGTCACGAGTAGACTGACGTAGCGCTATCATGTCTCCGCTTTCGAGACGGAAGTTTTTTCTTCTACCTGCTCATTGGAATTAATTTCTTCGGATTTCTTCCGGTCAACTTTGAGAATCTGAAAAGAAAAAGTATCTATAGGGTTTGTGTATAATATTTGTATATATATAAAAATACATATATGGTCCAAAAAATTATTTCTTAAATAATAACTGCATTATTAATAGCTTTATAATTAATAATTATATATAGATATAAAAGACAAATAAAATTATAATGGTAAGATAAATAAAACTTGTTGTCGACAGGTCTCCGGCCAGGATCGAGTGTCAGAGCGGAATCTCTGGACGCGATAAAAGTGTCGGCGGTATCGGGCGGGGACGCGGTCTTACCGTGCGACACTCGCTCGCCACAACCGCCCGACGCTCTGCTGCTTGTCGTTTGGTATAAAAACGACGTGCCTATATACAGGTGAGATTTCTATCTATACATAATTACTTTTATTATTATTTATATAAGAAAAACAAGATCACACTGGTATATGTATATAGAAATAGTAACAACTAATAGGTTCCCATTAATAGTAAAAAAATAGATAAGCGGTACTACATATGAAGTAACAGAGGTTATAATAATAGAAATGAACAAAAAATGAATTATACTGAGACTCTTCTCCCTAAACCAGGTGCAAACGAGTCTATCGATATCGACTTATCGCATTAACTTATATGTAATTTGGTCGAGAAATCTCGACTAGTTTGGGGACTATTTGTGACCCTTAACCTTGAGCGGCTGTGATGCAAGCACGAGTGTACCTCTGTACGCTGGGCGGGATCTGCACTCTTTTTATGGTATATATAAACTACAAGTGTGCGAAATTTCATACTCCTCAGTCTGCACAATTTTCGTAAAAAGGGGTACAAAGTTTTTGCTTCACGTATTAATATATAGATGTGAAAGTGAGTTTATTTGAACTGATGATGGAAAACTGTTAAGTTTTTTACGGGTTCTTCTCAGCAGATAACAACGTTCTGAACTCTGCATTAATAAAAAATACGATTCAAATGTGCTTGTAAAAAGTTTATTTGAATACAGACGATTTGAATTTAAATTTTGTTTGTTTGTATAGCGCCTTAAAGGCTTAGCCAGTCACTATGGAATTTGGTGTGCACGTACTACTATATGGGATAGAGAAAGATATAGGCTACTTTTTATGCCGGTCAGCAAACATAACCCGGCCACGCGAACGAAGTCGCGGGTAAAAACTACCATGCAATAAATCAGAGCATAATACGTTTTCTGTTTACGATGCAGTCGGGGGAATGAAGCCTGCAATTTTATAACTTTATCGAAGTTTATGAAGAAATCTCGCCTATTCACGTCTACTGGGAAAACTAATCTTTACATCTATTCTATATTTTTAATGGCGTTTCGAGGACATAAATATTATATAGGATTTGTAACAGTCGTCGTCTTCCTACATAATAATATACCCAAGGGGTATAATTGAGTTTGCGATTTAGTCACTCCATTTTGTCTTTACATTTATTGTATTTCTCGTGTTGTGTTTATTCTATACCAATGTCTAAAACGTAAAAGTTTGTAGGAACGTTCTTTGGAATTACTAGTTGGATTTGAAAAAATCCTTTTGCATTTGATAGCTTTTCTTGAGGATAGTTATCAATTAAACAGTTTTTGTTGCAACTTCATAAAATATAATACACATACATAAAGATTGTGTAACATCTAGTAATTATTATATTATATTCAGTAAAGGCTACTACCATGGTAGTATAGGCAGAGAGACTGATTATTTACGTTTAATTATTATGACATATATTAATACATTACAGGTTAATTAAAATTACGATACGACCACGAGGCAAATCGTCTTATACAGCTAGTGTTATTAGAAAATAAGTACGTGAGTTTGTTTATAAGTTATGAATTTGACGTTAAAAATGTTTAATAACAGAAGTGATTTTGATTAATTATAATAAAAATAGTCTGAAACTAACGCTAAAACTGACTTTACATTACATTATTACTAGCTATTCTATGTAGCTTCACCCGCGTAAATCAGTATATAAAATATCCCATGTACTAAGCTAGGTTATAACCTACTTTTGTACCAAATTTCATTCAAATACATTGAGCAATTTTTGCATGTTATAGTAATAAAAATAATTTCATCCATACATCTTTACAAACTGTGTGTAATATTAACAGAATTTGGGTTTATAATATCGTATGAGAGTATGAGATATATATATATATATATATATATATACTTATGAGAGTCAATAATGTATATACCTATAGATAATAAAAGAAAATATAAGTGCAATTAAAACTTTTTATTTTACTCAGCATAATAATCACTAAATTATTTGTATAAAAACAACATTAAAAATGTAAGAGAGTATATATAATATTCATAAACTGTAGGATGAAGAAAAAAAAATAAGGAAAAGTTATCTTATGAGAGTTATTCGTATGATGATAAATATTCGGAGTGTAACAGATATGCTGAAAGGCAAAAATATACTCTTTCTTACCCTGAAAGCATTTCGAATCCAATCGTGTATACAACATTGTTGGTGATTGTAACTAATAAAATGATTCTGTAAACAATTTTAATAAAACTCCACTATTGTAAAATAAACTTTACAGCTATAAATTTACAGTTTTATGTAGCTTTTAAAAATGGTAATTTATTATTAAACTATATAGGTATATATACCTACCGTAAAACGAATACTAACAATCCTTAATAACCTACCATTATTGTGATTTAATAATCTCCCTTGGATCTTAATGTCGAAGTTTTATAGTCAGTGGACATTTTAAATAAGGGTTTTTATGGATAATGGTTCTGTAGAGTTTGAAATTCAATAATTTAAAAGCCCCAGACACTTATTTGAAGTGATCTTGGGATTTCTATTGGATAAGAAAACATTCCTTATAATAAGACGGGGAAGAAGAACTCAAGCGCTAGTACAAATTTATAATGCTAAAGTTATCGTTTTTGACATTTCTAAATAATTGCTTTCTAGTTTTAGAACACAGATTCAAATTTAAATCATCTTTGTTCAAATAGACTTGTTTACAAGAATTTTTATATTGTAATTATTATTATTTTTAATTCTACTGCAGGGTTCAGAAAGTCGTCTAAAGTTGGTAATAAAATCCCGCAAGAAACTCAACAGTAACCTAACCTCAACAGTGATAACCTAAAGGAATATTATAAATTAACTCTTGAATAATGATATATTAATAATAGACCTTAGATTTTTTTTTATATATATATATATATATATATATATATATATATATATATATATATATATATATAGTAATAGACTAAGCTGTTAAAACGCTAAGAGATAATAAATAAATAAACTTAATGCTTAGTAACCAGTAGGATTTTCATTATAATATAACTAATGGAAGGTGATTTATAACATTATTCTTTTATTTTCATGGATGATAGTGGAATGGTAATTCCACATGCCCTATTGAGTTACGTTGACAGGTTTTTTAATAGATGCTGATCAAATTGCTATACGCGGTATACGCTAGTGGAGAACCAGTAAGTGATAATAAGTGAGAATGAAAGGCTAGTTACCTCTTGATGACAAATTCACTAGGAATTGACCACGATGATTTTTAGAGGAGATCGCGCGAAGATCAATATAACAGGGTATATTACTAGTAATGAGTTCCGTTGACAGACGAACGGAACCAAAGTGAGAAAGAGGTTCGCCTCACTCGTGTTTCTGTCCTTAGGTAGGTTGTCTCATATTTGCGCTTTTGAATTTGGAAGGTGGGCAGTGGAATTATAAAACACAGAGAGTAACATCTTAGGAGAGTTTTTTTATGTACGATAATGAAATGGTTACCCCGCCTGCGCTATCGGTATACACTGGCGGGGCACCAGTGAGGGATGAAAGGTAGGTCAGTTAGTCCATCGTGCCAAATTCAATGATAAATTAGCCACGATAGTTTCCAGAGGGAACCGTGTGGAGGTCGACCTGACAGGGTATATTGATAGCAATGAGGACTAACCTCCCTATTACTTACAATCCCTTCCCTTTAGGAGGGTTAACCCCAGGAATAACAACACACGAGGTGTACCTACTACACCACAAAGTATTCTGTGATGTTCACAGTGCTCATATATACAGACAAAAGAATTACAGGTATACTTCTTAAAATTTGACAGGCCATGACAATTACTATTCACATGAGGTAGGCTGGCAGCTAGTTTGCTGTATAAAAACTATTAATAACAAATTTTAAATTTAGAACGTGGAAATATATTTTGAATTTAAAAATCGAATTTCCCATTTATTGAAAAATACGAGCCGTCCGTCTGAGCGGAATGAAACCTTCTTTATACAGCTTATTATGAACATAACCTCAACACTACGCTGTTAAAGTTTCACAAGAAAATGTAAATTGTTTTCTGTATTGGAACACGTCGTAGTATAACGATATATTTTTTTTTATTTTCTTAGTAATAAGCTACGATCGCGTGCTTCGTACAAGGCCCGCGATTCTCTACTATGTATACTCTATTCAGAAAAATAATAAAGTAATGAATTGAAGCTCTAGGAAATTAAAATACTTTCATGGCTTATACACTTTTTGATGAGTTCATAACACACTGTATATTTTATAAAGAGACAACACGTTATTTAATTTCACAGAATATTGAGAACCAAACTAAACAAGGAAAAAAGGCTGAAAAAAAACGAAATCAAAAAAATAGTCATACTAGAAATATCATCAACATCATCATATCAGCCGTTAACTGTCCATTGCTGAACAGAGGCTTCCCTCTTATGGGGCAGTGTTAGTGCCACGCTTGGCAGGCGGGTTAGCAACCGCAGTCAGGCTTGTGGTAATGTTTTAAGAAGGATAATTCTGCCCATCTAGCGACCATTTAATTCCATTGGTCGCCTCTTATGATACCCACGGGAAAGGAAGTAGTCCACTCTATGCCGATACCACACGGCAAGACTGAACACACACTGCAAATTTAGAAGATAAGTATAGATATAGAAGATAAGTAGATTTGCTCCATAAAAAATACCGACTTCAATCGAGGAAGAACTGAATTAATAATAATAATAAATATTTTTTATTAAGGTAAACTTAATAATAAGCATTTTTGAATAGTATTTTTTTTAGGAAACGACCACCCAGTTCATAATGTAATTTCACTTAAGAAGAACGGACAAGATTCTTTTTTTCAAATATAAGTTTAAAATTAAGTGTGATCATAACTATAAACCTGTTGCAGGTGGCTCAGGACCGTTCTTTATGGCAGTCTATGGGGGAGGCTTATGTCCAGCAGTGGACGGATAAAGGCTAAAAAGATGATGATGATGATGATAATAAACAGAAACCAGTTATTTTGATTTAAAAATTAAATTCAGTAGTCGTTTTTCTAAATTAAAGTAACT